TGTGTTTTCCAATCTCCCTTACTGCCTGGAGTGTGTTTTCAAATCTCACTTACATCACTGGACTGCATTTTCAAATCTCCCTTACATCACTGGACTGCATTTTCAAATCTCACTTACTGCCTGGACTGCATTTTCAAATCTCACATCACTGGATTGCATTTTCAAATCTCACATCACTGGACTGAATTTTCAAATCTCAGATCACCGGACTGCATTTTCAAATCTCACATCACTGGACTGCATTTTCAAATCTCACTTACTGCCTCCTTCTTTGCAGGGTTCTTGCAAAGCCTGAACCAGCAGTGCACTGGAGAAAAGGTGGTGGGGAGAGCAATCAGCACCCCGGAGGGTGAGTAGGAGCTGATGGATTGTTTGTTTATTTAAGTGCTTGCAGGAAAGAAGAGCCCTCCTGAAAGCAAGGGTGTCTCTGTGTGCACCTCACAGGGTCAGTGCAGGAGGGAATTTATTTTGGGATGCTGAGGTAACAGGGCCCTTTCTTCCTTCCTTGCCTCTGGGGTGCTGAAGAGGAAGGTGTTTGTGGTTCCTTAGCAGGCTGCCCTGCCCAGAGGTGCAAGGCTGAGCTCTTCCCTGGCTCTGGAAGCAGCTGAGCAGTGTCAGGCTGCCCTGACACTGGGTCATCCCTGCTCCAAGTGGCCCAAACAGGGTTTGGGGTGAGCTGCAGCTGCTCCTGGAGCAGGCACAGGGCTGTGACAGCTGCAGGAGGGCACAGGGTCCGCTCAGAGGGATTAACAACCTGCACAGTCGCTGCGGGTGTGTGCTCCACACTCGGGAAGAGATGGAGAAGGAATGGTGTGGTTTGGGTACTCCAAATGGAGTACTGGAATGCTCTCTGACAGCCCTGCAAGCATGGGAGCCAGTTGGAGCTACAGCCAAATGGAGCTGAGCTCCAGCAGATCCCCTTCCTTTCCATCCGTTTGCTGCTTTGGATCATCTCTGTTGTGCTGTGAGGTGCAGAGATTTGAGAGAGAGCTCCAGGTGTGAGTGTGTGGCAGCTCAGCTCTCCGTAGGTTTGGGAAGGGGCTGGAATCCCCAGGGAGCTGTGGGACTGCCCCTCTCAGCCCTGCCCTGCTCACACACCGAGAGCCACACTGCAAACCCCTGACAGCCCAGAGCAGCCACTGGAAATCTGATCCTGCCCTTCCCTGTGTGCTGTGCTGCACTTGTTGCCTCAGTGTTTCCCTTTGCCTGAGAAACAAGCAAAAAAAAAAAGTGGGTTTTCATGCAAGAAGTGTTTTTAGAGAGCAGGATTCTTTGAGTGCTGTGGTCTCCTGGAAGCTTGCACGGCTGTTGCTCTTGAAGCACCATATGGTGAAAAAGGAGGGAAAATGTTAATCTGCAGTGGTAGTGGAGCTGAATTCCTGCTTTGCTTCGAGGCAGCATGTGTCCTTCAGCAGGGAGACAAACTGTACAGAGCAGGAGCATCACTTCAGTCAGCGTGTGTTGAGCCATCTGTATGGTGGCACAGGCTGATAGACAACCAGAATAAAACATTTTATTCCTCTGGTGTATCATTCTGAGACTATTGGAGACGCAGTTCTTTGTAAACAGGTTTGTACTTGAGAAGTTGGGAGCAGCTGTCCCCTCTTGCTGCCTTGCTCAGCTGTTCTGGCTGTGTTCTCTCTTCCCTTCTGTCTCTGGGGCTCCTCAGCTCCTGCTTGGTGCTTTGGGAACAGCCTCAGTGGATCTGGCTGAGGGGGATTGTGCATAAACACCACACTGCATGGGAAGCCCTACTTGCCCATTTTCCCCTCCTTTTTTTCCATTTCTTTTCTATTCAATCTTTACCATATCTTTACCATTTCTTTCCCTTCCTTCCCCATAAATGTTTTCTTACTAAGGTAATTTCTTCACAGAGTCACTGGCACAGGTGAGTCCTGAGAGATGCAGGGCAGAGCTAAGGCAGATGGATCAAGTTTGATTTCTGCTCTAAGCTTCAGTGATTCCCTTCCAGGACAGGGCAGGAGTTAAAGAGCAAACCCAGTTCAGCTGTGAAGAGAAGTCCTTTTAGCTGATTTTCCAACTCCTGCCCTATAAAGCACTTCCTTACCTTAATTCCTTGTGAAAGGTTCTGGGAAACATGAGCATAAAACAGAGCGTTGAGTTAAGTAAAATCTGAATATTGTGACATCTCTCCTGAGATAAATGACAGGAAAGAGACAGCTGACAACCAGGGCCTATTCAGGCAAGCTAAATTCTACCTAGCTCCCCTGTCAAGTGATTCCTCTCGTCTGGCTGCAGGCAGCTCCTCACAGAGAGGCTCTTCAGGGCCTTTGGCAGCTTTCAGGGGCCCCAGATTCTGCCTTGAGCAAGCAGAGAGCAGCTGGGATGGAGGGAGGGATGGAGGGAGGGATGGAGGGAGCTGAGATGGATGGATGGATGGATGGATGGATGGATGGAGCTGGGATGGAGCTGGGGTGGATGGAGGGATGGATGGAGCTAGGAGAGATGGCAGAGCGTCAGTGGAAGGGGTGGCTGTGCCTGCCAGGCAGGACAAGGGGCACAGGGCCAAGGTCCTACACTGATTTTCTCCAGCCAGGAAGGCTGTGAGGCTGGAATTTGGAGCTGATGTGCCCATCAGACTCAGCACAGGGGTTTGTGGCTGGATGGGAGACCCTGAGGTCTGGGATAAAGAGATAGATACGTGTGTTTGCAATTAACTGGATTTACTTACTCTGTGACACTTGCAGCGTGCCTTGCCCTCTGGCTGTGTCACAGGCTGCTAATGTGACTTTTTTTTTATTTCCAGAGACCATTAATGACTTGACTTTTGGTGCTGGGGTCAGTTGCATCAGCCTGACGCACACACCCGTTTCAGCTGCAGGCAAGTGGTCTTTGGGATTCTTATTTGAGGGGAGGGGAAAATAAATCCAACCCAAGCAATGACCAAATTGTTTTTGTAAAATATGAAAATATATGTATTGTTTGCAGTGAAGGAAGATGTTGAGGATAGGTCAAAGGGTCTCATCTGTTTGACATCGCCGGAGAAACTGTGAGTTCAGCAGGGGGCTGGGGCAGGAACAGAGACAGAGAGAGGGGCTGGGGCAGGCACAGAGATGGAGAGAGGGGCTGGGGCAGGCACAGAGATAAGAGAGGGGCTGGGGCAGGCACAGAGATGGAGAGAGGGGCTGGGGCAGCACGGAGATGGAGAGAGGGGCTGGGGCAGGCACGGAGGGAGAGAGGAGCTGGGGCAGGCACAGAGATGGGGAGAGAGGGGTTGGGGCAGGCAAAGAGATGGAGATAGAGGGGCTGGGGCAGGCACTGCAGGCACACAGAGGGGCTGGGGCAGGCACTGCAGGCAGAAAGGCTGGCCAAGGGCTTGGAAATGCAAATTCTGCTTCCTTCCTGCAGCCCATGCCGGCCTCAGGAGTGGAAGGTGGAATCCCCAGCCAGGAGGAGCAGCCAGCGAGCGCCCCTGCGACGGTCCCAGCGCAAAACCCCTCTGAGAGCAGAGAGCTGAGCCTGCCCTGGAGTGCTGCACAGAGCCACCAGGCTGCCTGGAACTACCCCTCCCCTCTGGAATCAGAAATGGGTGTGATGCACATCCTGCCTGCTCTGTTCTCAGCTGTCCTGGCGCTGGGCAAGGGCTGCATTAGCACACGGAGGGGTTGTAGGTGCTGCTCCTCACAGAGCTCACTGGAGGGCTCAGAGCTGCAGTGCCAAAGGAGGGTGGCTTTTCCCTCTCAGGATGTGTAATTTGTCCATTTGGAAAAGTAAGGGCGTAATGTCGCCACAAGCTCGGCAATAAATGCATTTATCACAGCTTGCAGGGCAGTGAGTGGCTGGGGTTACTCACCCAATCCCTCACTGTCCCTCTTGGTTATAATAATAGAGTTGCTTTAATTTGAAAAAAGGTTGAACAGCTTGGCACTGCCACACCCCTAAATCTGGTAATTGCACGCTACATCACCTCTTATTTGTTGTGCAAACTCCTGTGTGTATGAACAGCCTTAATGTTCTTTTTATATGGAATATTTCCACTCTTGAACTATGTTATTTCCAACTATTAGCATTTGATGAAAATAAATGGTTGCAGAATTAATTCCACCCACGGCATCTCCCCTTTTCTTCAGCTGACAGAGAAATGATTTTTTTTTCCCTTGTGGATTTCTACAGCCTCTCAGTCTCTTCTACCACATCATTGGTATCTTGGGCCCTCAGCTCAATTGTTGTGGGGCCCAGGAGCTTTTAAATAGAGCCTTTGACTTGACTGCAAGCAGGGTATGAGTGACACAAACAAGGTGGGTAAGTGCTCTGGGCAGGAACCTTGTTTATCATAAATTTCCTGGGTAAATCTGACCCCTCCTGAGTCTCCCTGATGGCCACGTGCACCTCATGGGAGTTTTTCTGTTGTTAACTTTCATCACAGAGCTCATGGCCTAGATTTCATTGAAACTTGGAGCTGGGACCTGTTTTATTCTGGTTTGTCTACCTCGGACACGAGCCCCAGGCAGGGAGCAGGATCTGCTGCAGGAGTGGGAAGAGGCACTTGCCTCCTGCACTGGAATTCCATCATTTGCCTCCACTTTCCCTCCCCTCTTTTGAAGATCAGAGAACCCTTCAAGTGAGGTTAAACTTTATTCCCAAAATCAAAGTCCGAGAACAGAGGATGTGTGGAATGGCTTTGGCTGAAGCTATGGCCAAACCATTTATTTCTGTACCTCCTCTCCCTGCCTTCAGCTATTATTTAACCACTCTGAAGGGTAAATTGGGATCGTTTATTTCCTACTTTTTGTTTTGTCCTCGAGCAGTATCTGAGATGAGCCCTGTGAGTTTTAACCTGTCTTCTCTAGAGAAAAACCAGGAACAAATGTCCAAGAATAAACTGATAAACAGCCCTGGACTTCGTCACCTCCATCCACTGTGAGTACTCTGACAGGACAGACTTTCCCTTATTTCACTGAATCAAAAACAGGAGCTTCCCATAATTTGGCTGTTTGGAAACCACCACCAAGCCCAAACAAAAACCCCTACAAGAATGCTTTATAGCTTGGTATTTATGTAAAACATTCTTGGCAAAGTTAAACGTAATACATTAGTACAAACCTGAATATTATTCACAACAATACAGTGAATTCCATCCATCAGCTCTCACGAGCTGGGTTGGGGGGAGATCATCTCCCCCTTCTCTCGTTAGAGATGCCACTGTGCATTTTAGAATTGGAAAAAAAAAATGAAAGAAGTTTGGATTCCTAGCTCTGCTGGTTTGTCACACGAAGGCTGCCTTTGGTGGGACCGCAGATTGAGCTCCCCTGGTCCAACCCTTTCCTCTCTCTCCTTTCTTGCAGGTACCCCAAAAGCAGCACAGAGGAGGAGCAGTGGATGCCCAGAGGGTGCAGAGGAATGTCAGAACAACTGGAGGCAGCAATCAGCACTGGGTGGCTCGGATGAAGAGCTGGCAGTCAGGAGGAGACCAGGGAGAAGCTGCAGAATAGCAGTGGGGATGTGTGAGTTACACAGAGAACACCTGGATGGGGCTGCCCCATCCCTGCCTTGGCTCCCCCTGGCAGAGGGACAAGTGGCAATGCTTTGTTTGGGTGCAACAAATGCAGCAATGGCATGTCCAGCGAGGGCTCTAGGAAACAAAGCAGAGTAAAGCAGAACACGAAAAAATAACACTGACAGTCCAAATTGTCAGGTATCCAAAATACTGTATACAGGAAAAGTTAAGACAACTCAAGTCATATTGGAAATACAAGAACACTAAATTCTGCTACATTAAAAAACTTCCTAAACCACAGCACAGTCCTAGTGTTGCATCCACATCTTGCAGCCTGGTCTCACCCAATGCTGTTCAACACTATCAACATGGATATTTTGTGAAACATGTGTTCCCCATCATTCTCTCTAAAGCCAAGAGAACCAAATTTGGTTGGTTTTGCTTTTTCCTTTTTTTTTTTTTTCTTTACCATCTAGAGAAAAAATTTCAGCTGACACTATAAAAGTGCTTTTGTGTTGAGCTTTTGCTTTCCCAACCCAGAAACAGTGGCCTTGGCCATGTGGTTTAAACCTGCCAAGCTGCTGTAGCTGTCACACTGTGTTAGTGCTTTAGGGAGCTTGCAGAGGGGCAGCAAACACTGAAGTCACTCTGTCACCTCTTTGGAACCGAGTCCAAAAGCCATCCCTGGCTATTTCTTGCAGTGACAAAAACAAAGTGTTGGTCACTGGCAAGAGAAGTTGTTTTGTTTTTTTTTATATATATAAAAAAGTTGATAGCTCCTGCCATAAATTTACAAAAACTATCCCTGAGTGACTCTGTTCTGTGTCTGGTAAGACCTCTTGTGACAAGGAAATGGCTGAAGCTGGCTGAAGAGGAAAGAGATGCTGTTCCACCTGCAGCTTTTTGTTACACTTTGCACTAATACTGATATGCTGTGACAGTGCCACACTATAACAACGTTTGAGCTCCTCTCCTGTAGCTTCAACAGTAAAAAAATAGCTCCATTACTCAAACACTGCTGGCATCACGTATTTACACTTTTAAATAGAAATGTTACCTTTTCTGAAGTAATCAAAATAGATCTTTGCAAAAAATTTAGAAGGTGGGGTTTTACAAAATAAACGGAGAAGGTAAAAAAAGCTGGAGGATCTCTCAGTACCTTTTATGGCAATCTTAGCCCAGGAAATTATTTGGCTTTAATTTTCCTGAAAGGGATGTCTTAGCACTGGTTGTCTGCCTCCCCTCTAAGCCTCTTTCCCATGGAAAGATGCAGAGCTGAGCTGCTTTGTGCAGATTAGAGCGAGGGGTTACCTGCGTGCAGGAGCAGAGGCAGAGCCCTGCCCTGGGCTCCTGTTAAATCACAGCGTTTGGGCACGGGTACAGCAGGGCTGAGGGCATTAGTGGTGGTGTCGCTGTCACCTGTGCGCCTGAGCAGAGCCAAGCACAGAAAAATCACCAGCCAGGCCTGGGCAATGAGCTGTTGGGAGGAAACCCCCCCAAATCTCACTCTTTGGAGTCCACCCACTGCTGTATCAGCACCTTGTTTTGTCTGCTAGTAACACGTTACTGGTCATGTCTGCTGCAGGTTTACCTACTGCTGTGCCCCTGCAGCACAAAGAGAAGGCAATTCCACAAACTTCCCCAGCCCAGTCTCTTGGGAAGGACTGAAACCTCTCCTCGGTCCGAGGACAGGTCTGGGTGATCCTGTTGGTATCTCCGGAGGCAGGGGAGACGCGAGTTGGGCAGTGAGGAGTTACTTTAAACTTTGGCAAAGAAAAAAAAGATATACAGATAGCTAGCTATCGAGTTCTTGTGTGTTCCAAACTCTTCCAAGCGCACTTAATTCATCTTTTGCTCCTGCTTTGAGTTCCTGGAGGAGGTATTTTCACACTTGCTTTTGCTGGTTTGCAATTTCCTTTTGGCGTCTTAGATGACAAATGAAGACTTGTGTCTGAAGTCACCCTGCAACAAAACAGTTTGGGATGTAGGAAGGATCCAGCAGCTTTCCAGGCAGCTCTCTGTTCCTGCTGCCCCCAAAAGGTGGATCCAAGCTGTGTAATCATGAGGATTCTGCCCAGGCAGCTCCCATTTCCCACTGGGAAGGAGATGGAGGCACCAGTTCCACTGGCCAGGTGCTCCTCCTGTCCTCCTCACACACCAAGGCGTGGCAGGGACTTCCTCATTCCCCCACCAGTATCTCTGCTCATGGGAGAGGCTTTTTCTGGTCTTAAGCTCAGTGATCTACTCCAATCCCAAAATACAAATTCTCTCGTAAAAGCATCACGTCCTGCCCGTTTAATCCAATGAAACTCATCCTGAGGGGGTCAGGCCATGAGATAACTCGGAGCAGAGCTGCCTCTGATAGCTCCCGGCATCAGTCACTCCAGGCAGCATCAACTGATCATCATTTCTAAGGAAATGACTCAGCCTGCACCCTTCTGTTTTCCCTCTGTTCCCCAGCCCTGCTTCGGCGTGAGCCCACTCTCACAAAGTCTGTGGGCCCCAGGAGCGCCTCGTCCCCTGCCCACCCTCTTCCTCTCCTGACAGAGACGCTAAATGCAAATCATTTGTTGTTACCTCATCATCTGTCCGGATATAGTTAACGCCATCAGGTTTTGCTGGAGTCTTGTAGCTGAAAGAAAGGGAAAAATCTCATTTCTGGGACAGGAAAACTGCAGGATTTTGGAGGGGACGTGCTGGAAAGATGGAAATGAGGAGGAGGAGCTGAGGGAGAAGCAAGCAGAGAGAAACCCAGTTTGTTTCTCAAATGAGAGAAACAAACTGGGATTTTTATCTAAATTCCCCTTCAGCACAGGGCGAAAAGATTGCTGTGTGTTTCCCTAAGAGATAAACTGATTCTTTGCTGGGCTCTCCTGCTCTGGTGCCTGTCACTGCCTTTCTGTGCCTCCTGCTCTGTTTCCTGTGGCAATTATAAAGTTCATTTTAATCCTTCACTGCCAGAAGCCTTCAGCATTTTTCTTAGTTATAAGGAAGCGCCACTTGTTTGCAATCCCACAGGAACTCAGGATTTACACAAGACTGTCAAGTCCGGTGTATGCCAACCCTCAGCTGCATTTAAATGGGATATTTAGAGCTTTTTCTGAAAAACAAACGAAACCAATGAGAAAAACAAGACAGGACTTGTGCTGAAAAGCAACATTTAGCACAGAACAAATCTATCTGGTGAGAATCTTGGCTTTGCATATATTATCTCCTCTCCAGACTCTGTAAGGACATCGAGGCTTGTCTCTGATGCTAATGCTGTTGTTTTTAACATTTTCATGTGCGCTCCAGAACGGCTGTTTTTCATCCCAAATTTAGGTTTTCACAACTACTGAGACTTTCTGTAGAGAGCCTGCTCTGCTGCATCCATTCCCTATGCATGTCCTGATGCTTCAGACTAATTAGGCAGCGAGCTGAGATCATTAAACCATGGCCCTCGTTATGCCAACAGCACAGGAGCTGCAGGACAAACACCTGCAGGCATTTAATTGTGCTGGGCCCCCTTTCCTATGCAAAGGATGAGGGTATCAGAGCACAGCTCTCATCCACACCACAACTGTCCCTTAGGAAAATGCCATCCCTTCCTGGAAGTGTCCAAGGGCAGGCTGGATGGAGCTCTGAGCAGCCTGGTCTAGTGAAAATGTCCCTGTCCATGGCAGGGATTGGAGGTGGATGGTCTTTAAGGTCCCAATTCACTCTGGGATTCTGTGATGGTTCCATGAAATAAACCTGCATGCTGCAGGGTTTTCCAGCAGGGCATTGGATGCCTCAGGAACTGGCTTGGCCTGTGGACTTTGGTGGGGAATTAGGCACTGAAATTCCTTTTAGCCACTGATTTTTGGCAGCCTTCAGACTCCTCCATGCCACCTGAGGGTGCAGAGACTTGTCCAAGACGCCCAGCTTACCTTTCCCCGCTCTCTTTGCCATTTGCAAAGTATCCCCTTCTGTAGGCACAGCAGATCCCAAGAGTGATGAGCACCAGGACTGCAAGGACCACCAGGACTCCCCCGATTATCCCACCAATATTGAGGTCATCTGCCAAAGAGAGACACCAGCACACAGTGTTTCTTCAGGGCAGCAGCAACATTCCCCTTCACACACACTAAAATGCCATCTCTCAAGTCTTTTAGCAATAGTTCATAGGGAACTAGTGAGTCCCTGACTTCAAGATTAAATCTGTTCACAATCTGACGTTTCCTTACGTTTCCAGATTATTTTTATCTCCTTATGTTTGGGGCTATGAGAAAGCAGGGAAGATTTAATGCTGTAGGATGTCCCCCCCTCGTTCCTGATGGTGATGGCAATTTATTTATGGTGATAAATCAACCGTAAGTATGGAGACTCACAGACTTCCATCTCCTGCTCCTCACACTTGGCAAAGCCAGCCTCGTTTGTTGCTATGCAGTAATAATGACCTGTGTCACCTTTGTGCACTGCATGGAAAACCTGGGGAGGGAAAAGGGACAAAGGGAAGGGATGTGACATGAGAAACAAGGCACTGTGAGGGTATAAAAATGCATCTCTGCAAAGATCTCCTTCCATCAATCTTCCCCCTCCCAACTCACCCAGACCCCGGCACACCTCACCCTCTTCAAATTATTCCTTCCTGGAAAGCCAGGCAATGTTTTTGTGAATTTACAAGCAGCCTTAGAGATAACCTGTCCAGCCAAACAAGCCTTGATCAGACGTGTCAGGGCATTACCAGAGTGCCTGTGGCGGGGTTCAGGGTGTAGGAGGAGTTGTGGGGCTTGGTGCTGGATTTGCTGTCGGCTGGCAGAGGTTCGCTGTTGCGGTACCAGCTGTAGGTGGACTTGGGGAAACCCTCGTTCTCGTGGCAGTGAAGAGAGGCTGACTTGCCAACAGGGACAGCTTTAGGCACAGAGCATCTGGGAGTCATGGGTTTCACTGCGGGAAGACACAAACCAGGTGAGTGGCACTAAATGATTTCTGAATTCTCTGCTTTCCTCGGCAAAACCATCCAAACTTTCCATTATCCCCAGCTGGTTTTACACCCCTAGTGTGGTGCTGCTTGGAGATCCCCAGAGCCTTTCTGTTCCCATTGCAGAGGCTGTGTGTTACACTGTGCTCAGGACGTGCTTCTTCCCCATTCCTCGGGACCCCTGTGACTCTGATCAGATAACCCTGGACCCCTCCTTCCTGCCAAGAAGCCCTCCCTGTCCAAAGCCTGGATAAACCCCTGACATTTCCTGTTCGTTCTTTTGCCCCACTCTCCCCATGGACATCACAGAATAAAGAGAGCTGCACCATCATATATTGGGGTAAGAGCCTCTTTTGGAAATCTTTTCCATCTCCTGATATTCCTCCCCTCAAAGCCTCAGATCTCTGGGCCAGTCTGATAATTTAGGGGGCTGAGAGGGGAGAAGCATCAGTTGTGGGTTTGGTACCTTGGACTGTGAGCTGGATGTTGATCTCGTCGATGGTTTTGGTGTCGGAGGGCGCGGCCACCTCGCAGCGGTACGTGGCCGTGTCCATCCTCGTGGTGTTCTTAATCACCAGGGACGTCCTGCTCAGGATCTCAGCCCGAGTCGCAAAGTCTCCTGGCACACAGCAAAGACAGGGAAACAGCAGGGGAGTCAGGGCTAATGACTCAAGACTAAAAACCAGACTCGTTTGGGGTGTATAAATTAAGTGGTTGATCCCAGACTCTTCTCCAGAGTCAAAGGAACTCGATGTTTGAAAACCCCAAAGGAAACCAAAGCTGCCAACCATGGAAGAGGATGAACTGGAAAGCATCACTCCAAACCTCAAAAACTGTGGCAAAATCGAACTTCCAAGACAGCCTCAGGCCTTGCCTCCTTTGGAAGATTCATTTGGATGTGGCTCTTGGTCCCATCTAAAGTGCTGGAGTAATTCCAGATGGAGTCAAGCCCTCCTGGCACTGGAGTTCTCCTACCAAGCCAGACAGGCTGCTTCTAATGCTCCCAGGATGCTGCAAATCCCTGTGCAGCCTGGGCAGAGAGCACTGCAGCTGGACACAGATCCCTGCTGAGGTGAGGGGGAACCCTCAGATGTTCTGTGGAAAGCCTGGACAGTCAGTGCCTGGTCCTGAGAGCTCAGACACCCAGTGACCATGGGACCCACAGAAGGGAAGCTGCATCGTTCTTTTCTTCCCCAAAAAATACCTCCCAGGCAGGATCTCACTCCAGCTGCCTGTGGTGCCCTACTGTGACCTGTCAGTAATGAGGCAGGGAGAAAAAACATCCTGCTCCTCTCCATCCTGCACTTCAACTGCTGAGCTCTGTTCCAGAAGAAAGCAGCCAGCCAGCCAGAGCTCCTGCCTTTCACAGGCTTGTTTGTTCCCCATTGTGCTCTTTCTGAAATCTGTTTGAAAAGCTGTTTTGGAAATCTGAGAACAAGGAACCTTCATACCCTGCATTTTGTTGCCAAAAAACACGTAAGAGGTTTCTCCATCGCGGATTTTCTTCCACTCAATCCTGGGATCTGGTGTCACCGTGGATTTAATGATGCAGGACAGCTCAACACCTAGCAGGAGAAATGGAGGCAATCCAGATTAATAGGAAGCAGCTGTGTTTTTGCTCTGCTTTGAGCACTCTCACTCCATGTTTTATTAGGAGATGCTGCCCACAAAGCAGAGCTTTCTCTTTCATCTGCCTCACAAACAGAAACGCTGCTGGGCTCCAGGAGCTATTGGAAGATGGATTTTGGCCAGCAAAAATAATAGTCCAACAGATAGCAGCTATGGAGAGAAATGAACACCCTGTTCTCTGCAGGCTGGGCAAACAAACCCTTTAGTCAGAGTGAGCCCACCGCCCTGTCCTGCTGTGGGGAAGGACCACACCGTGAGTCAGGGATGCAGCATCTCCCTGGGATGGGCTGGGGCAGCCACTCCTGGGGATAAACCCAGCAAACCCTGTCCCCTTTGCAGCTGGCACTTCACCCCACCAGCAGGGTGAAGGAGCCTTCCCAGTGCCCCAGGGCACAGCTGTAGGAGGGCCAAGAGAAAATATAAATTTCTCTCTCTGTGTATTAATTGCATTATTTTGCTTCTTTTGGGACCCAGTTCAAAAAAGCACTTAGGCAGAGACTTTGCAATGCCAGTGGCTTGCAGAGGACCTCAATAAACCATTTAAAACAGGAGATGCAGACACATTCTCAGGCACTTCTCTGAATCCCATGCTCTCGTAGTCCTAAGGAACCAGCGACCAACAAGGCAAATTTCCCTCTGTTGTTTGGCCTGATGCAGCACAGGCAGCACTCACTTTGGAATTCCTTCACCACGGGCCTGGTGTTGCTGGATGTCAGCTCCACAGCCAGGAGTCTGCAGCCTGGAAAAACAAACAGAAGGTAATAAGAAATAGCACAGCTCATAAGTCACCCAGCTAGGAACAGGCTGCCTGCTGAGAAATCATCCTGGCCAGCTCCGAGGACTGACTTCCCCAGACAAAACCTCTTCCTGCCTACCAGCAGCACGGAGTTTATTTAGGAGCTGTGGTGTAAATACAGGAAAATGTAATTGTTAGAAGTAGCAATTAAAGAGGAGGATTAACATAATGGCACAAAGGCAGTGCCAGCACAAGCCATTTCCTTGTGCTCAGTTAGATGGGAAAGGAACTGTGCTAATGCAGGAGTGAAAGTTTTATTTTGAAAATTAACTTGAGGGTCAGAAGACAGGAAGCAGACCGATCTCCAGGGATCTGGTCAGTTCCTGGGAGATGGAATGGGCCAGGCCTGGCCTCTAACAAATGCTGATTGCATTGGCAAGTACTGCAAGTGTGGTAATGTAAAATGTGAGGCACTAAATCACTGTGATTCAGGAGAAAACAGCTCAGCTCTTTGGGTAGAGCCCCAGCCAGACCCACACTGGGGAGAAAGCTCAGCCCTGCAATGCTGTGAGGCTCCTTACAACACAAACCTGTTTGTTCCCTTCCTGCTCTGAGCACCAAAGTGTTCCCAATTAATCCAGTCACCTTCCCTCTTTTGCATGTTACTTTAGCTTGAAAAATCTGCCTTGTGTGTCCCTTCTGCTGTGCACTCCACCAGAGCAGGCACCAACAGCAGTCACGCTCTGCTGGATGCCCAATTCACCAACAGCTCTCCAGAGGGAGAGGGGAACGAGCAGGGAATTCCCTGGGAGAGGAGAGTGAAGCAGACAGGATATTCTGGAGCTGGCTGTTCTGGTTCTGGTGTCACCAAACCAGGCTGCTCCAAAGCCCTTCCAGGAGGAGGTTCCATGCTACAATCAGTGCCAAAATCATCAGCTGCAGGGGCCTGCCATGAGCAGCTCTGCTGTGACAAACCCCATCAGAAGGTTGTGGGAATCTAAGGGAGATGCCCACTGAGCTCACTGGGCATTGATCAATCAGCAGCTTAAAAATGATGGAAAACACTGCCTCAGGGACATGAGATGTAGCTGAAGGTTAAGAGTAAAAAGCCATAACAAACATGGATAGAAAGCAAAAAAAAGCAGCTGAAGGGAGATGTGGAGAAAGAAATGATCTCCAGCATCATGACACAGCTGGAAATTCCTGTGCTGGCATTCATGGGGGGAAAGCTTTTGGGCAGAGACTGACAGTGCAGGGACAACATCCCTCTGGTGGAGTGGCAAGGCAGCAGCCTGAGCTGCAAAGTCACTCCCACTGAAAGCTTGAGGGCCTTCAACACCTAAAAACCTTCCAGCAATGCTGAAATGTTCCCTGCTGGTTCCTACCCCTCATTTGTTAAATGCTGACACTTTCCTGGGAGCCCCAGTGCAGGTACCCCAAAGAGCACCAGGGAGAGCTGGAGTTTGGCAGGGTTTAGAAAGCTGCCTTTGTGTCCAAAATCGTTGTTTCTCACACAAAAGCCACCAGCTGATGCTGACTAATAGCTGGCCCAGCCAAAACTGCTCCTAGCAGGACTTTTCCATCCTTCCCCTTCCGTACTGGAGACAGTCATGCAGAATTTGGGAGAAATCCAATATTGAGCTCTGGACTTTGGTTCTCTCCAGGCAGGAGCTGGTCTAAGCAGTAATTTCTGCAAGTCTGGTTTGAAGCAGAGTCTATTTTCATGAGAGCTGCTGCTTCCTGACCTACACCCTGAAAGCAGGAATTGTGCCAGGTGATGCCAATGCTTCCCTTCCCTCTGTTCATCAGGGAATCATGGACTGATTTGGGTTAGAAGGGACCTTAAAGACCCTCCAGTCCCACTTCTGCCATGGGCAGGGACACCTTCCACTGTCCCAGGTTGCTCCTAATGCTGCTAATCCCCCGAAGGCACGGCATAATTTTGGGAAAATCCTTCTGGAACCTTCGGACATGTTTCCAGCAACAGTGAAACACAGCGTGTGAGTGCCTCTGCTGTGAGATTGCTGCTTCTGAAACCAAGAATTTAACTGAGAGCCCAGGCCTGAGCACTCAGCTGGTCTGAAGGGATGCTGGCTGGCCTCCTGCTCTGGACCAGTTTTAGTTTTGTTACAGATTCTTGCTTGCACAATGTCTTTTGCTGAAAATGCTGTCCCATTAAACAGATGTGGCAACAGTCCTGCATCTGTTGCAGTTAGAATATCTGTTCAGCTGAAGGTGGGGACAACAGAACCACAGAGTTGTGTAGCTCTGAGGGAGTTCTGGCTCTAGAAATATTCACTCAGGGCAGCAGGACTCTGCCAGACTCCAGCCCCATCTCATTTCGCACAAACTGCTCACAGCAGCCTTTTTCTCACCCACTAAGCACAAGAGATTCAGGTCTGTCCCTCAGACACAAAGCGGGATGACAACAAATTTTAGACAGAAGCTGAGTCCTTGGAGACTGTGTGAGAGGTTCTGACATTATTACATGTATTGACCGTGGGCAGAGATCAATGTGGCTGCTTAAATCACTGCTAAGGCAGATTTATTCCTCTCTGTGTGGCAGAATACTGCAAGTAGTACGTTCTAAATTAAAAGAAGGTGACAGCAAAGCAAAACAAAAACCTGAACTGACCATACAGACTGTACAGCAAGAGAGGAATGCCCTTCTAGAACCTTGCTCTGCTGGCACGGGTTGTTTCTTTGTTTTGTTTTGTGTTAAATCATCATTAGTGCATAATAATCTTGTGAAAGGTGTTCCTTTAGGCTCCTTCCAGCCCAGCACAAATGAGCAGCAAAGGGTTTGTGTTATGTAAATCTCACTTCAAAGGCCCCAGCGCCCGGGGTTTGGAGAACAGCTGGAATTGCATTCCCTCTCCATGTGTGCCACAGCACAGGCACCCACCACAGCCCTATGTTCCACATCCCTGAATTCCCACCAGATCCATATGTGCTGCATCTCCCAGTTCCTACCAGATCTCCATAGGCTGCAAAATCCCAAATCCTACCAGATCTGTATGTTCTAACCCCCCTGAATACCCACCAGCTCTGTATGTGCTGCAAATTCAGCCAGACATACGGTTGAATCCCAAATGTCATCAGTTCTCCAAAATAGAATCCAGGACAAGGCACTGAAGTCTATAGCATATTCTTATGGCACTTTTATTTTTTTTTTTTGCAGCTAAAGAGATCCAGCCCATGCTTGTTACTGTGACTCATGGTATCTGAATCACTTTAAAATGCTATACTGAAGAAAAAAAAGCAGTTTTATAGGCGACTCTGTGCATTAAATCTCCTTTCAACTGTTCAAAGCCAAGCCTGACCTTCCATCTCCTTCCACCCCAATGTCTGCTTGGAAGCTCTAGGCAGAAATTTGAAGAGGAGGTGAGGTATTGTGTTATAGGGAAAGTGAGAGGATGACCAGGAGAGAGTTTGGGAGAAGTTGCTGTCAGCATCCTGTGCTGCAGCTATATGATACAGTAATTTTAGTTAATGCACTGTCAGGCACAGGCAGTACAAAACCACGCAGCTGCATTTAAACACCTGCCCACCAAAGCAACAAAAATATTCCTTGCTCAAGGTGTCCATCATCCCTAAGCCCTTGCTGGATTTGCAATTCAAAGCATGCCCGAGCCGTGTGGGAACGCTACAATAAACCACACACTTTGTTAGGCACCTCTGCTTTCTGGGCGGTTACTTGGTGCAGCAGGAGTGAGAGATGTGTTGTGGGGTGTTAAAACAGGTTACCTGAACCCTCTGCATGTCAGCAGCCTCAGGGCTGCTCATCTGGAGGTGTCCCTGGAGCATCCATCCATCCATCAATCTGTCATCCATCCATCAATCTGTCATCCATCCATCAATCTGTCATTTATCCATCCATCCTTCATCCATCCATCCATCCATCCATCCATCCATCCATCCATCCATCCATCATCCATCCATCCATCCATCATCCATCATCCATCCATCATCCATCCATCCATCCATCCATCCATCCATCCCTCATCCATCCATCCATCCATCCATCCATCCATCCATCCATCCAACCCTCCATCCATCCATCCATCCATCCATCATCCATCCATCCATCATCCATCCATCCATCCATCCATCCATCCATCCATCCATCCATCATCCATCCATCATCCATCCATCCATCCATCATCCATCCATCCATCCATCCATCCATCCATCCATCCATCCATCCATCATCCATCCATCCATCCATCCATCCATCCATCCATCCATCCATCCATCATCCATCCATCATCCATCCATCCATCATCCATCCATCCATCATCCATCCATCCATCATCCATCCATCCATCCATCCATCCATCCATCCATCCATCCATCATCCATCCATCCATCATCCATCCATCCATCCATCCATCCATCCATCCATCCATCCATCATCCATCCCTCATCCATCCATCCATCATCCATTCATCCATCCATTCCTCATCCATCCATCCATCATCCATCCATCCATCCATCATCCATCCCTCATCCATCCATCCATCCATCCATCCATCCATCCATCCATCCATCATTCATCTATCCCTCCATCCCTCATCCATCCATCCATCCATCCATCCATCCATCCCTCCATCCCTCATCCATCCATCCATCCATCCATCCATCCATCCATCCATCCATCCATCATCCATCCATCCATCCATCCATCCATCCATCCATCCATCCATCCATCCATCCATCCCTCCATCAATCTGCCATCCATCCATCCATCCCTCATCCATCCATCCATCATCCATCCATCATCCATCCATCCATCCATCATCCATCCATCCATCCATCCATCCATCCATCCATCCTGCCTCTCAAGGGGGTGTGTGCCTCAGGGAGGAAGATGAGGGGGAAATGCACGGGAAGCCTCCAGAGGAAGAGCAGAGGAAGCCACGCAGAGCTGGACTGGGTGAAACAAGGAAAGGGGAGGCTGTGTTCCTGCCCTCAGCTTGTTTTGAGGAAATCACCACAAGCCC